CTTCCTTCCTTCCTTCCTTCCTTCCTTCCTTCCTTCCTTCCTTCCTTCCTCCCTCCCTCCCTCCCTCCCTCCCTCCCTCCCTCCCTCCCTTCCTTCCTTTTTTCCTACCTTCCTACTTTCCTTCCTTCCTTCCTTTTATTTTTGAACTCATAAAGGAATATGAACTTTATTTGCTGTTAAATTTTGACAAGCTATATTATATCAATAAGCAAATACTTAATGCGCCTGAATTAATATTTGTGGTTGTTCATTACATTTTTTATTAATCATTTCTTATATCACCATTATTGAAGATTCTTTATGACATGATATACAAAAAAATAACTTGCAAAACACTGTACTGGTTTTATTGTGATTATTTTATTGTGTGATATATTAATGTGGAATATAGTTGTATATAATACTTTTTATTAAAATCTAAACTGAAGATCACAATGTTCCTTAGAAACAATTTTTGAAGAGACAGAGAGAGAGAACTTTAATAGTAGAGAAAAAGCTGTTGACTTTCCATTCTGCTGTGTTTTTTATTTTTGTTTTCTTGTGATTTAGTAAACCCAAAACAAATGTCAGAAGTAAATGTTTATATTAAAGTTCTTGATGCAAATGAATATGCGCCAGAATTTGCAGAAAACTATGAGACTTATGTGTGTGAGAATTCAAGAGCTGGACAGGTAAGACTAACATTACTTTGTAAAAAGCATTAAAATTCTCCTGAAATCTGCCAGTGTTTCTTTCTTCTACTTCAGAGGTGTCAAACTCATGTCATCATGGCAACATCATATGACGTATTGTGATTATTTTTCCCTTTGCTAAACCAGGCATGGGCATGTCCAGCATGTGACACATTCGGCCAAATGGGTCAAGAGTTGACAGCCCTGTTCTAGTTGTAGGAAATCTTGTAAGAATTTTGTTCATGCATGCATCTGGAGTAAACTCTTTCAGCTACCACTGACAACTTATCTAGTTATAACATTATTCTTTTTTTCTTCTACATCAGAAATTCAAAGAGAGGCTTTGTCCTGACATCATGTTTCTTGCATCTTCATAACCATGTGTTGTTCTGTTTGCCTTTACAAAATGGTTGTGTGCTGGGATTAAAAATGAACTATTACCTACAAAAAAAGAAGGGTTTTTTATCCTCTGCTTAGCTTTCCTTTACCTCTCTCTATGCTTTATCCTTCACTGTTATAAAGTGAGCATAGACCTGAAAATATATTTTTAAATAAAATAAAACAGCATTGGAGCTCCAAGAGATGATCCAATCTGCATTGTCCTCTTTCTATAATTTAGGGTTACTGAATCATTTCCTGCCATTTTAATGTCAACCACTTGCAGTTCTGGCTTAGCTGTTGATATAAATTTTAGTTTCTTTGGGCAGTTCTAAGAGCAAAGTTCTGTTCAATGATGGGACTGAATTTGATCTGTCATAAGGAGCAAATGTATGTGCAGAATAATCTCAATTCCACTGAGTTTTAGTTTTCATTTCCTGACCAAAACTGTGCACCAACTGGCTAAGACATCGATCCTCCCCTGTAGCCATAATTTGATTAGTTCTTAGTTCTACACAAGACTAATAAACCTGAGGAATAGACGTGCTCTTCAAATCTTAAGAAACTTAAGAATCAAAACAATGCATCATCTCCTATTCCACTTGAAATATTAAATTATATAACTTGGGCAATAGAAATCTTATTTTATTTTATTTTTTGGTGTATTGTTGCCTTCATCAAAGCTTTATTTCTGTGTATCTGTATCCTCAATTGATACAATCATAGCATCATTATTATTATTTTTGGTCTTTTAATGACCCCATAATCCCTTGCATTGGGGTGGAGTTGAGGCAAATGAATGGAGCTGAGTGTTTACTGGCTGGATGCCCTTCCTGTTGCCAGAGTTCTCAACAGATAGTTACTCATTGTGCCCAGAGAGAGAAATATCTGCCGCTATATAGGGTTGAATTCACAGCCTCCTGATTGTGAAGCGAGAGCTCCACCTCTAGGCCACTGCACCACTCATAATCATACCATCATATGATTGAGAAAAATCATTTCAATTTTTTCTTTAACTAGGTTTACTTGAGAGATTCTGATAGTGTCAAAACAAGAATATGTGTATTGTCATACCATTCAATTATATGATAATGTAACTGGACCATGAAGTCTGACATATGAATAATCATCATGATAACATGATGAGCACATGTTGATCTCTACATTGTGAATTTTATAAGCATGCAATGCCATTGTCTAACTCAGGGGTGTGAAACTCGCGGCCCATGTGCCAGATGCATCATGCGCTGGCCACACTGATGCCCAATTTAGTGAAGGGAAAAAAGTCATGATATATCATGTGACGATGCCATGACAATGTGAGTTTGACACCCCTGGTCTAACTGGAGCATGCTGACTATGAAGGAAGATTTTCTTGCTATTTTAGACTCCTTCAAAAAAAAAAAAAACCTATGAAGCCAGTAACTGTATGCATAGTTGAGCAAGAATATCATTGGTTTTGTGTAAATAGATGAATCTCCCCATGAGTCCATGATTTTAATTTTAACCACAAATTCCAATATATATCTTCAAGATAGGATGGGACAATATGAAACAATATATGTGTGGTATACATACATGTATGACTGACATTAGCAAGAACAGATCAAAAAAGGATAAGATTATTGCTATAGCAGTATGAGCAAAACAACACTTTTTTGTTTATGCATGTAATCTTGATGAATGTGCAAAGTACTAGAGTCTAGACCTTCAGTGGTTTTGACAAAACTGCTAAATTGCCTTTCACTTTCTACTGCTGTTCTATTGCATGAATTGATGAAGAACGGTTAAGGGGAGTAAACAACTATACATTTCCTTCCTACAATTTTCTTGCCCCATGTTAAAAATCAAAGGAGAAGATAGGAGATCAGTATTCCAATTCATTTTCTACAATTTGATCACCGTCCTGGAAGATACAGAACTCTAGTAAAGTGTTTCTCGACATTAGCAAGTTTTAGATATGTGGACATCAACTCCCAGAATTCCCCAGCCACTCATCTTAATATTCCCAAGATTCAAAAACATTGGTCTACTGTATCAAACAATAATCATAAACACAATTTTGGGGAAAGTAGAATCTACAGAGCGGAAAAAAGTCACAGAACAGATTGTCAATTAGATTGCATGTGATGTTTGAAGAACTGAGCCAGATATCATAATATGAGTATAAAATCTTAATATGGAATAGCTGAAGATAAACTTTAGTATCAAAACTCACCTGGGATTAAAAGAATTTTGTAGATGCACTAAGTTGATTTATGATAGCTCTGCATTGAAGGCATAAATCTTTTGCTGTCAGGGATAGGTGGCCAGGTACTAGCTACACTAATTAAACTTTGTAATTGCCCTTGGTTTTTTGTTCCTTGTATCAAAAAGAAGAAAAGTTAATATATTTCTGTTAAAGGAGATGGAAAGATGCCCTTTGGATGTCATAGCATGAGGAACATGAAGCACCAAGCAGTCACACTTCTTATTCCATTGCTTAATGTCACACCTGAAATAATAGGGCATGTAGGTCATCACATCTGCAGAAGGGCTTCAGTTTGCAGATAAATTCTATTGCCTTCAAAAAATGCTTCCTTTCCAACAAGTATGCCAGAATGGCAGCAATTTATCAAACAATATAAACGGGGACCAAATTGATCTAAGGTATTACAAAGGAAAGAATTGGACTCTGTTAGAATTATGATGACCTGCAACTATACAGAAAAAAGGATTGGAATGTTCTGCTTCAAATCTCTCAGTAGGAAAATAATGTAAAAAGCAAAAGCTTGAAAATATTTCCTGTTTAGCTATTGTAGCAGGAAGAAGTACTTTACCATTGACTTTCCTAGAACTGATTTTTAAAGGCATATTTCAATTTTTTTTGGTATTAATGTTGCTTCCAATTATGTTTCTGCTCATAATAGAATTAGGATATACAGATCACTATAAAACTACCCCATGTTAGTTTTACATTGTTCTTTATTGGACAGTATATTGCTTAAAAATGAAAAAAGTTACAAAATGTATTTTATATTGACATATGTTTACCCAATATATATTATCTTGTACATATTTTTGTACCAAAAAGATCACATTTACCCATCATTTGTGCATTTTCTACAAAAATGGGAAAACTGTTTTCCCAAATCACTTGAAAAACATTCTGGTGGCTAATGTTATGCCTGGCAGATATAATTTTTATTTGTTCAAATGCAAGAATCAGACCCATCTGAACACAAAACATTGAATTTATCTGTGTCTTTCCACATTTGTACATATTTATTTTGACACAAATCCCTGTAATTTGATGATCATCTGTGGATTGAATTTAATATGGCAATTTACTCAATTTAATGTATTGTAAAGTGGGTGAAAGTGTGCACTTTCAGTCAGAAATGGTAAAACAACACTTATTTACCTAGCACTTAACATAAATCAGCAATTATAATAAAAATGAGGCCTGTTGTCTTGACATAAACTCCCTTTCAAAAAATATCCTAAATATTATAAACAATAACAGTTTAAGTCAAATGTTTTAATATATAAAATGGTGTTTTCTGAAATGAAAGCCATGTTGTAGGTTCACTTTGTTGTCCTCTCTTCCACATATATACAGTATAAATAGCTTTCCTCCCCTGAGTTACTGAGGGGAGAACATATAGGAAAAATGCAATTATGCAATAAAAATGACTTGAATAAACACAATATTAAAATGCATAAAAGTCTATGAAAGAACTATCAGAACAATTTTTGGAATGTGTACAGAATCTCTAGAGCTGGAACAAGTCAAAGTTCCAAAATCAAATACTATTATAGAAAGCACCCCATTCATCTAGTACAGTAAGCTTTACTCCATGTTCACTGAAGTGCATCATCAATCTCATCAGTCCAAAGGATACTGTCTGAATTAAGTTGTTTTCCTACCCCTAGTACAAAAGGAAGATATAGCAGCCACCTAAAACCTAGCCATAATCTATAATATAGTGAGCTTCATCATCTCCTAAACTAAACAATGTGCTGCTTGGGAGTTACAATCTGAGGGAGGGTTTGAACATCACAGATTCTTTTCCATTTATTACAGTTTTGTTATAGTTTCATATATGCACATCTCTCTATATTAATCCATTATCACCATCTTTTAACAACCCCATAATCCTTTGTGGGGTGGAATCTGGCCAACTGAATGGAGCTGAGCACTTACTGGCTCAATGCCCTTCCTGTCACCAATGTGGATCTATACTCAGCAGATGTATTCTCAAAGTGCCCAGAAAGAGAAATATCTGCCTTTACCTAGGATCGAACTCACAGCCTCCTGATTGTGAAGTGAGAGCTCCACCTCTAAGCCATCACACTACACATATATTAATCCATCATGATCCTCATTGATTACAATATGCTTTGTTTTTTCGTGCATTCATACTCTCTGATCAAAGAGGGCTGTTTCTTACCCAACAATGGGTTCATGATGCATTTTGGTAACATCCTTGTCGATTTCAGTTGTTTGTTGTACTTGCATGCAAAACCCCTTTAGCTTTGAGATTGCATCACCTTACTGAATCAAGTGCCCAGACAGATGTATTTATTTTGGAAGTAGAAATAGAACATCATTGGAAAACACTTCTTTCTCTTCGGGCATTTAAAAACAATTCTGATTACATATTTTTAAAATGTGGTTCTTTCATCATTCTCCTAAGAAGAATGCATGATGCATCTATTTGCTCTTTGCCATGGTAGATATTAAAGATAGGCCAATCACCCTGTCCAAACTCTTTTCCAAACTTGTAAGAACTGATATTGGGGGGACAATTTCTCCAAATTTGTCTGAGGATATCAATGCTGAAAAAGCCTTATCATAGCTTTTCCACCATGATAAGTTCCTTTAGGATTTACTGGAAGTGTGAGAAGAATAGAGGCTGATGTAAACTGATGGAAAGACAAGGACAAAATAAAGGACAACAGATACAGAGCCATCTCCTTGCTAAATCAGTGCAAAATTCTACTCTAACCATAAAGTGTTCCCAAATTTCTCTACTCTCTCAAAACAATTTTGAATGCAAATTGCCTTTTATCAGATTGAATGACAACATGTAAAAATAGATGTGGGAAAATGTCTCTAGCTGGCATCAGTAGGAATAGCCTTCCCTGAGTGTTATATTACTATTGCAAGCACACAATCCATTTAAGCAAATGTGAGGCAGGTACCCAGTTGTCTTTTTCACTGCCTTGTTGATAATTTCAGTTTTCAGATTAATGAGGCTTGATACAACACAGTTCTTAGCAATTAGATTACAATCAATAAGCCAACTGCAGATGCTGGGTTTTCAAAATATAGTCTAACTATATTACTTTTGCATTCTAAACCTTGATCCAAACATAATTAGTGCACTACAGTTGTTTTTTTAAACTTCGGTCTATCCAATCATTTGCTACATTTGAGTAATTAATCTAAGACCAAACTGAACACAATGTGGAATATCCAAGACTATAGACTAGTTCAGTCTGCAAAGTGAGGACTGAACCTTCTTTCATCACCAATTTCCTGACTCAAACCCAGGGGTGTCATTATTTATTCAGTGTCATTAGCTACTTAGAATTAGAAAATAGACAATTTCCTTTTTTCTTCTTATATTGCCAGTAGAAGCTTTAAATCTGGGGAAAGATGCAAGGAAATCCAGCTGTTTACTAAGCAATTCCCTCCTCCTTTGGCTGTTAGATGCCAAATTAGGAGCATGGAAAGCTGCCAATGGTCCATCTAATCCTAGGTAGTTAATGGCTGGCAGCTGTTTTCCAAGGTTGCCGGGAAGAGTTGTTTTTTTTCCCCAGCTCAGTTTGGAGATGCCAGAAATTGAATCTGGGGTATTTTGCATGGAAATCACATATTCAGCCAGTAAACTATGGCTCCACTTCTGCTTTAAGAAATTAAGAACGTGCTGAAAATATCTTACTTTGATGATCGTTCCACTTTTAATTCAACCACAACATCAGAATTCATATTTTTAGTAATTTATTGATTTTGCTGAATTCTGCCCCAAATGTTTTATGTATGCACATGCATATCAAATAGACAAATAAATACTCAGTGCATATTTTAATTTATGCATCTTGCTTTATGAGATGAAGCTTTCCTAGGATCAGTTAAGATATAGGAGATAAAACAGTTGAATGCCTGCCATTTACTGTCTATAGCTAGCACATATTAGCACATCTACTACCCCATTATTTAACCCTGGGAAATTGGTGTTTGTTTCTCAGTGTATGGGATAGGGTACTTGCTGGTATAGGAATATATCAAAGGAAGAACAGGTATGGAAAACATACACCAACCATAAAACCTATATTGTGTGTAAAATGTTTCTTTTATCACAACTTTAAAATTAAAGATGCTAAATATGATCTTAAAAGTCAGTCACCTTAGCATAATGGATGAAAACTAATCAAGAAGAGAAGCAACCTTGAACTAAGTGGAATTTTTCTGACATTTAAAATAATTAATATTTGGAATGACTTGCCTCTAGAAGTTGTGGGTGCTCCAGCACTGGAAGTTTTTAAGAAGAGATTGGACAATCTCTTATTTGAAGTGATATAGGGTTGGACTAGAAACCTCCAAGGTCCTTTCCAATTCTGTTATTCATGCAAATATATAGCAACAGGAAATGCTCCATAGAAAGTCATGACAGAAATGCTGAGATAGGGAACTGTCACCAATTGCAATCATGTTAAACTGAATGAACAATTTCATTCATACAGTAGCCTAATTGAATTGTGCTGATTCAGCCCCAAGGCACAATACAACATACCAATACTTAAATGTCTGGTTCCAAAGCACATCTTTCCATGCATGATGGGTGAACTAAATGTATGTCACTGACCAGTGTTTTTTTTTTTACTGCCGGTTCTGTGGGCGTGGCTTGGTGAATGTGGCAGGGGAAAGATACTGTAAAATCTCCAGTCAGAGGTGGTATTTGCTGGTTCTCCGAACTACTCAAAATTTTCACTACCAGTTCTCCAGAATTGGTCAGAACCTGCTGAATACCACCTCTGTCACTGACTAATATAATGTTTCTTTTATGTCAGGCATAACAAGAAATGTGCACTTCTTAAATGCTATAGGGCATGATAATAAAAGTCAAGGTATTGCTCCTTTTTAAGTAAAAAAGTGTGGAAACAATTTTAAAACATTAATGGAAATATGCATATGTTATTAAATTAGATTTTCTAATGCCAAGATGGTTCGTTATTTGGGGGTACTTTATAAAATTGAATTAAAATGGGAAATTGGTGTTTTCAAAATAGTGTATGAGGCAGTAAACAACTTCTACTGACAATAGTAACAAACAAAAAATCTGAAATGGGTTATTATGGAAATTTTAAGATGATATATTTAGAAATGTGAAATTTATCCCTTTTTTAATGTAAACATGCTAATTTTTATTTTTCTTAGAAATGGCAATTTAGTTTGATATGTTTGTCATTGGGGATTATTTTCTTTCTTTGAAAACACAACTGAGCGTTCCCATATTCAATCTGTTACAATCTCAAAGAATCAACAATTCAGCACATGAACCTGTCACAATCTTTGGGTCACAACTACCATAATACATCACTTAAGTGATGCCAATGAGATTTTGTACAGGGAAGAAATAGGTATTGAAGGATATGTTCAAACATAGAAAGTTGTACTTTTCATCTTGAAAAACAAAGGGTAGAATACTTTATTCATTCCCTTTTCCTGTCCCTCTTTGTTGCTTATGGAAACGTTAATTAACCTTTGCATTGCTATTCTAAAAGTAATTTGCATTACCTCAAGAATTTAGTGCTTATCTTCTTCCAATCAATATAAAATCAAATGGCATAATTGTAGGACATTTTAAAAAAATCCCAACACCCCTAAAAAAATTGAATTAAATAATGTCAGTTTGTAGCAGCAGTTACAAACATTTCCTGCCCTTTGGAGACAAGCACAATCGTAACAGTGTTAATTGAACAGAATATATTGCCTGCAGTTGTGACCCATTGCATTAAAAGCCAAGCAATAATCTTTGGCACTAAACACGTTGTGTATTGATTTTTGTTTCCAGCTCATCCAAACAATCAGTGCAGTAGATAAAGATGATGCTATGGAAAACCATAATTTTTCATTCTATTTGATGGAAGAGAGCAAAAACAGTTCCAGTTTTGAACTTGAAGATAATGAAAGTAGGTATTAAAAGCAGCTTTGAGATGTTTGAATTCACTTCTTTTTCATTATTAGATTAGAAACAGAAACTTTTATATCAAAGGAGTGTTTCACTTAGTTTGAAAAATGGCCTCCAAAGGCATCCATCACTCTGGGTTTTCCCCTGTTATCATCAGCAACTGCCATGGCTAAAGAATCACAGGCTGAGATACATCTTCTCAAAGAAAAAAAAAGTCCAACTGCCTTTTGGAAAACACTTTTGGGGCAACTATCACCTGGATATTTGAGAATACAGTCCTGAGAGCCATTAAATATCCCTTCTCCATGCACTTTATCTTGAAAACTTATTTTTTGCTGTGTGCCTGTTACAGGAATTGTCATTGAGTAGTCTACTGTTTCTGGCAGCCTCTCTTTGCCATTTATTTGGTCATCCTGAACAGTGTTACAGTCTTGCTCTTGTTCTTCAGCTGTATTCCCTGCCGGGTGGCATGGCATCAACTAAGTACCCTACTGAGCTGTTTCCAAGGGGCTTGCTTCCATTTCCTTTGTGCCTCCTTCATTACATGTAATACATGGGCCTAATCTATCTCCAGATTATGAGGCCTTTGGAAAGTCTGACAACTGACAGCCTCTCTTCCTCTTTACATTTGGGAGTCACTATTGCCATGCAGGTGTTCTTGGCAGTGACACTGCTGCTGGCTGTGGACATCCTTGTAGCCATCCTTATCTTAAACACTGTTTTGTCTCACAGTGAGTATGGCTGTTGTGGTGGTCCATAGGAGATGTGGGGTGCCTTAGTGGACTCATTTTGTTAATAATGGTAACAATGTTAATAATAAAGGCATTTTGCTAATAAACCTCAATGTTTAAATGAGACATTTAAAAATGGCATTCAAGAGTCCGGTGATCTATTTTGAGAGATTGTTCATATCATAGTAAATCCTCACTACCTAAAATAATTATCCAGAAGCTAGAAGGTCATCAGAGGTGCTATGCATTTACAAGCTGACTTGAGTTATTGGAAGCTTTGGTTGGGAAATATTGTGAAGTGTGATTGATAGCAAAAACAGACAACCACAGAAAAAAATTATCCAGGGAAGAATTAGAGGTGACAAGAGAAAGTACCAGATCTCCCAATAATTTTCCCCTGGTTTGTTATAACCAGCATACTATCTTTTATTCCCCAAATTTATTTCCACTATTTTCTCTAAGCTCTAGGTCATCTCTACTATAAAGTCATAAACTCTGTTCAGTTTTGTTATCCATTGCTTTAAAGTATAAGATTGTAATCCCCCAAGGAATTCCTAGCAAAGAAATACTATCTGTTTTCTCCTGTGTTGTTAGTTTTTTGAAAAAAACAGAGGCCAAGTCTTTGTGACTGGGTCATATATGACTTAAGATACCGGTCAAGCTGGGTATACAATCTCTGGCTTTCTAAACAGCATTTATTATTAGGCTTATTTTTTTCAGTAGGCAAGAGTGCAGATAAGTCAGTGATAGTAAAGTTAGAACATACAGTTTTCCTACAACACATTAAGAAGCTTACATTATCCATGGGCTGAAGTAATAATCACTAGTATAAATAACTTCACTTGATCTGAAGTCAACTACAGGCCCCCCCAAAAATATTTTTGTGATCCTTTGTACTTTCCTGTGCTAGACATAATCCTTTTGTTCATCCTTGTTCAATTTTTTTTTATTTTTCTGCCTTTTGACATTGTCTATTTTTTTCTGCTTGCTCTTCTTCAGAGATAGCTTTCCCCCAGAGTTAAGGAATGTTTTCTGAAAAGGAATTTTGGGTATTGGTGAACCAGACTACTGATTTGCAACATATGGATATTATTTTCATAATCCTTGATGTAAATGAGCAGCTGACAGAAAATATAACTTTCATCACTATTGTAATTTTGATTATTAAATTATCATCTATGAAATACCCTATTAACTTATTTACCGATTACAACTCAATACTATCTGTTATATCAAATATATAAAAAAAGAGCTGTGCTCTGTTACATTTGCTTTCTTTTTATAGGAGAAAAAATCTACACAAGAATGACTGAAAATAGGGTGCTTGGTAGGACCTCCAAAAAGTTATTGAGATATATTTGGCATCATTGAAAAATATAATTGATTGGCTCTTTTTTTGAGAGCTATTTTATAAATCTGTAGTTCAGGTTCTTCTTTTAAAATGCATAGAAACCTATCTGAAAGGTTCATAGCTGGTTTCTAAATATGGCAAATTTTCATAGTAAAGACCTTCCTATTATCTGATAAAGCTGCCAAATGCTGAGTGGTATTAGAAAAGAATATAGAAAAGCACATAGAAAACCAAAGAAGCTGGGTTTAAAATGAAGCAAAGGTGTAACATTAATAAATGCTTAAACTACATTTGCTAAAATGAAATGAAGGAGGAAGAAATGAAATTCATACATATATAACTTTTTTAGTTCTTTTTATTGTCGTCATCATGGGGATGACTTTTCTGTGCTGGAGTGATATGCAGCATTCATATGAATCTTGAAAATTGAGAAAGAATAATGTAGATGTTATTTGCATACTTACCTATGATAGGTTGGTCCGTGGTGACGAGAAATTTGAAGAGCCATTATTGGCCACAAGCCGTGAGCAGCCAGCTATAAAAAAGGCTGCCACGGTTTCTCCGCATGCGATTACTAGAAAGAAAATAAAAAGGAAAAAAGGTCAACTAGGTCTCGAGTCTCTTTTCCCACAACGCAACACTGGCGCCGAAGGTGGGATAGTGAGACAAAGGAGCCCAGTTGTGCACGTAGCAACGAGGACCGAGCGAGATGAAATGGCTGGGAACAACTCGCCACCCGCACCATTCAACCCAACAACCCAAGACTGGGAATCTACATCGACTGATTCCTCATGTTTCTAGAAGGGAGTGATCTCCAAGGAATATCCGAAAATAGGAAGAGAGCCGTCTTTCTCATCCACTGCGGTCCCACAGTATTCAAAATAGCAGAGGCATTGGCAGCACCCAACGATGTAAAGACGATGGCATGGACGGACTTAGAGAAATTACTGCGAGCACCAACTGTTTCATGCCTCATCAAAAGATACAAATTTTATCAGTGCAACAAAAAGGGAGATGAGATCATCAGAGATTTTGTTGCAGCACTAAGAGACATTGGTGGAGCATTCAAATTCCTAAACATGGATGTGGCCATGAGGGATCACGTGGTCCTCGGATTAAAGGACCTTACACTACAGGGTCAACTACTAACAAGACCTAAGATAACATTGAAGGAGGCAATAGAAGAAGCCACCACAGCGGAAGCCACACAGAAATCAACAGCCACCATGCCACAAATGAATAAATTACCAAAGGAAACCCAAAAAGACACTAGTCAAATACATAGTAAGACTCCAAAAGGAACAAAAAAAACCCATCACCACAACACACCACGAGCATATCGAATCCCTATCAGAAGAGGAAGAGGTAAATCAACTCCAGTCGGAAAAAGGTAGATGGGAGCAAAATGAAAGAAAGTCAGAATTCTGTTGTGCCGGGTGTGGAGGAAACCATCCATGTTCCAAATGTTGTTTCTTCAATGCTATTTGCAGGTACTGTGAACGGCGGGGACACATAGCTAGGGCATGCCAAACTAAAAATAACTATCGCTCTAGACAAAGATGGAATAGCCCCCCCCCCCCCCCCCCCAGAGAGAGGAAAAAGCAAATAGGGAGCCGTTGGAGTCAAGAAAACAGAAACAAGTGATGGAAAGAAGCAAACAGAAAAGAGGAAACACATCAAATAATAACCATTGACCACTCAAACTCAATCAATGCAAAAAAAGGTACATGTGCAAGTCACCATAGAAGGCCAGCCATGCGAGATGGAAGTGGACTCAGGCTCGTATTTATCAGTGGTATCGTAGAATAACCTAAAAAGACTAATACCTGATATAAACAAGGGAGAGCTTGAAATACAAAAACTCACACTAAAGGACTACCAGGGAAACAGAATTCCTGTAGTAGGTACCAGACATTTCAAAGTTGAATTCAAAAAACACACTAAAGTCCTTCCATTAACCATAGTCGACCGGGATCGACCCAGCCTACTGGGACTTGAATGGTTTGCACCATTAGGAATTAGAGTAACCGGAATAAACAGCATTACTGAGACAGACTGGGAAGAGAACCTGAAGAAAGAATTCCAGGACGTCTTCAACGGAGAACTGGGCAAGGATCCCCTTACCAAGGATCCCCTATCTCATTTAATTTAAATCCAAATGTAGACCCTATAAGACAAAAGGCGAGGTGAGTTCCTTTTACGTTAAAACCAAAAATTGATGAACAATTAGATAAACTTATCGCACAGGAGTATTAGAACCAATAGACCACGCAAGGTAGGAAACCCCAATTCTTACCCCTATTAAACCAGATGGGTCAGTACATATCTCCAGGGACTACAAAGCAACCCTTAACCACATGCTACAGCAAAGCGCATACCCAGTTCCGGTGGTACAGCACCTATTACATTCTTTGGGGGGAGGTAAAATCTTCGCAAAATTGGACCTTGCATAAGCCTACCAACAATTACCAGTTGACCCAGAAACAGCGGAAGCACAAACAACTGTGACACACAGGGGGGCATTCAAATGCAACAGACTGCAATTCGGAGTTAGCGTGGCCCCAGGGGTATTCCAGAGTTTAATGGAATGTCTATTGCAAGGAATAAAGGGGGTGGTACCATACTTTGATGATGTATTAGTATCATCCAAGGACAAAGAACAACTGAAAGACTGCCTAAGGGAGGTCTTAAAAAAGTTTAAAGAGGCAGGACTTAAAGTAAAAAAAAAAAGAAGTGCCAGTTAGCCACCGACAAAGTCGAATTCCTGGGATACCTCATAGACAAAAAAGGGATCCACCCCACTGAAAATAAAATCAGAGCAATAAAGGAAGCTCCCAGACCCAAAAATAAAACAGACTTGCAACCCTTCTTGGGACTTATTAATTTTTACAATGTATTCTTGCCACAGAAAGCAATGATAGCGGAACCACTACACAGGTTGCTTGATAAGAAAGCTACCTGGACCTGGGGGCGATGAGAAGAAACAGCATTCCAGGAAATAAAAAACTTACTTACATCAGACTGTGTGCTAATACAATACAGCGAAACCCTTCCAATAACATTAACATGCGATGCGTCGCCATTCGGCATTGGTGCCATACTCAGCCACGTATTACCCAATGGAAGAGAAACACCTATCGCATTCTATTCAAAAACTCCATCTAAACCGGAGCGGAATTACAGCCAACTAGACAGAGAGGCATTGACCGCAATAACAGGAATAAAACGTTTCCATGAGTATATCTATGGCAGACCTTTTTCACTTGTCACAGACCATAAATCCTCGCAGGAAACAAAGCTACACCTAACATATTGTCACCGCGGATGATGAGGTGGTCGGAATTCCTAGCTGCCTATAACTACAACTTGATCTACCGACCAGGAAAGAACATAACGCACACTGACACCCTGAGCTGTTCCCCCCTACTCAACTTAGATGATGATCCTGCACCAACCACATCAACCCTTCAAATCGAGACGATGGCAAACATACCAATCACAGCAACAGACATTGCTATGGAAACCGCGAGGGACAAAAACCTGGTGCGGATTTTAAATTGGATAAGGAAAGGGTGGCCAGAGACTGCAAGTGACGAGACTGTTAAACTGTTTCAGAATAGACAAACGGAACGATCGATCTTAAAGGGATGTATACTATGGGGGGATAGGGTGATCATACCAGACATATTAAGGAAACTAATACTTGAGTTATTGCATGAGGGTCACCCGGGTATTGTCAGAATGAAGTCCCTGGCACAACGCAACAGTAGGGGATACCAATTTTTTAAAAATGAAGGAAAAATCTAAGTCGAAGAGCTGATAAAAATGGCAGCAAAGCAGATCACTAAAGATAGCCTGAAGAGGCTTAGAAGAAGAACTATTTCTAATTCAGCTAAAGTATGCTTTGCTCATAGTTACTTTGCTAATTATATGAATGTTCTGTCTAACTGAATAAATCAATAAAGCTAACTTCTGGAAAGTTTATGGAGGTGTAAATAAGAAGTGACTTGTTCACTTTTGGATTTATTAAAATGTCCTATAACAAAATATGGTATCCTGAATCCCACACCTATCATATTTAATATAATTTCCTAAAGGACTATTGATATTATATGGGTAAAATGTGTATTTTGTAATTTATATCTAGCTCTGATTTGGGCTTTTAGTTAATATACACCTCAAGAATAAACACACCAGTAAATCCTCTAAGTTACTGTTCCATTATTAACTGTGCTGTCAATGGTGGCACCCTACATAAAGGCATTTCATTACTTATAACTTATGTACAGTACATGCTCAAATATCACTTCACAGTGGTGCAGCAATATTATGATTTATCAAGGCACTTCATGTTGTTTTGGGGCCTCCTCCATCATGTCTAGAAGCCAAATGAGGCAGACAAAGTTATGGAAAAGGAACGGACGATTCACTTTGTTCTTTAGAAGAACACAATTGTGTTGTTGAACAAAGCAGCTTTGAAGGAATATTTTGCTCCAAGCACTGTCTTTGAAAGTCTGCACAGCTTTATTAGTGTTATGCTATTCCATAAGTTACTCCAGCTACTAATAGATAAATATAATATTCAAGTCCAGTTTGAAGCATTTTCAAAAGCGTATTTTTAAAACAGTAATAAAACATTACATTTTAAGCTCAGGGATTCAGGATAAGCAAAGATATCATCTATTTAAAAATGTCTGCATGAAATTCTATGTATTCATCAAAAACAATGGTGACACCAATGACAGTGTCAGGAATTGTGGAAAATGATGCAATAGTGGCAAAAAGAAATATTTTATGCAACTACTCCCTCTTTCCAGAGAAAGTGAAGAACTATTACATACTGCAGAATTAAAAGTCAGGTTTTTGTTTCATTTTAATTTTTGACTATCATTATATTGGTAGAATTTACTAGAATACAAATTTGCATTTTTTTTAAAAAAAAATCATATTGAACAGTTTGCAGTGAAACTGATTTGTTCATAAATAGGTTTGTTTTTGTTTTTCATTATTATTTTACAGATAACACTGCCAGGATCCTTACTACAAGAAGTCGGTTCCATCATTCTGAACAATTTCTTTATCCCTTGCCCATACTAATTGTGGACAATGGAATCCCTGCTCTCACTGGCACCAGCACTTTAACGGTCACTGTGTGTGATTGTAATGAAGAAGTTAGCCTTTTGTCCTGTAGATACAGAGCATTCCTGATTTCAATGGGGATTAGTGTACAAGCTTTAGTTGCTATCGTGGCTTGCCTACTCATATTAGGTAATTATTTTCTTCCATTTTATGCAAAATACATCTCTACTACCTTTTCATTGATTAGAACAGGGGTGTTAAACTCAAGGCCTACAGGCCAGATCCGGTCTGTGGGGTGCTTAAATCTGGCCCATGGGAATAGCAAAGGACCAGCCTGTAGTACCTCTGGCAGGCAAAACGCGGTGTGGAAGACCACATGTTTCCCATTTTCATCCTGGAGCACTTTGCCGGCCAAAATGGGGCATGGGGGGGGGGGCTGCAGGAGGCCACCCAGGCTGAAAATGGGGCGCTGGGGGCTGCACAATGACCTTGGTTTGATTTTCTGAATGTGACCTCTTCATTCATCTCTTCCCCAAGCTAACTCAAAATGTTCACACTGTCCAGTTCATTAAAGCTTATTTCAGTGGACACCAGGGGCTGGTCAGAAGGGGAAAAAAGAAATGGAAAGTCAATTTTAACCTCCTCTGTTCTACAGAAGGATATCTGGCTTCAACATAATGTATCAATTATGCTTAGACATTTTCATCAGTCACACTATTTAATCTAAACATGTTTGCACATTATCAATTGACACCTAAAAATATGACCTTATTCCACCAGACACAATTTAACTAACCACATAGCTGGCTAGGATTTGCATGTTTATTCTTTGTAGACTTTTCAAATATTTGTTTTTTTTTCTGTTTTGTTTGCTTGCTTGGCAGTATTTGTTTTAGCAGTTGTGGCTTTGAAGCACCAAACAAAGCCAGCAGCATTTCACGAGAAAGGAGAAATATTCAGAGAGAATATTTTCAAGTATGATGATGAAGGAGGTGGAGAACAGGACACTGAAGCTTTTGATATTTCTGCACTGAGACCACAAACTGTTATGCGGCAACACAAGCCACGAAGAAATATTACAACAGAAATCCAGAGCCTTTACAGGCAATCTCTTCAAGTTGGTCCTGAAAGTGCAATATTCCGGGAATTCATTAATCAAAAGCTAGAAGAAGCCAATTGTGATCCAGATGTTCCTCCTTATGATTCCCTCCAGATATTTGCTTTTGAAGGAACAGGTTCATTGGCTGGGTCCCTTAGTTCATTGGAATCAAACTCAGAGGGATCACTTATGGATGACCATGATGATTACCTTGTTGAACTAAGACCGCAAGTCAAAAGTTCAGGAAGCGTGAATAACTACAGTTCAGCAGAATGGTGAAGTGCTAAGAAGTGAAGTGCTAATATCAAAAGAGTGGGAAAGAATTGGAGGGGTGATTAGGATAATATGAAAAAAATCAGAAGACAGAGAAATTGATGGCTCTGCCAAGCACTGTTCAACTCAGCACAAATCTTATTGCTGACACATCATTTTCTAATACACACTATCACAACTGAAAAAAAATATGTCAGCACATGGGAATAAGAGATCAGCCACATACACTCTTAAAAAGAAGATTCTGAAATAAATAACAAATTGTGCTACTCTCATATTATCTTTTGGGTCTTAGCAGGCACAGGGATATTTTATTTTGCAAAAGCCATATTGAAATCATGAGCAGAAACTGTATTTTCTAAGAAAGTTTTCAGCAAAAGAAAGACACTAGAGTGCAGAATTTTAATTTTTGAACTTTTTACAAAACTGTAAATATATTGACCAATTTAATTATCATCATAGTAAAATAATATATGCACACACACTTTGTTTTAAAATATAAATGCAATATATGAAATTATATATGAATGAATTTAGAAACATGAAAAATAATGTGGGTGGAGGAATATCAAAATAATATGTATTTTCCATTATCCCCAAATCAAACCTCCTATACTTTCCTACAGTTGGCTTAAGTTTCACAGCTTTTTTTCCAGATAAATTAACCAGTTTACTATTACACATAACTTAGCATTTGATTGTTGCTTATGTATCTATATATTCTTTAGAATATAAATTATTTTATTTTTCTAAAGCACAGTAGAATAAAAGCATGGTTTGTTAATAAATGTGGAATCACTGTACTGGAATTAGAGATTGAACAGTTGCAAGATATTATTTGAATTTGTGATTCAAGAATTAAGTAAAAGAAGTTATTCAAGTTTCAATATTTGATTAAATTTTAAAACATTGACCATGGAATATTATGGGAAAATATTTGTGACTTCCACTCTTGGGGAAATGGGATGAAAATAGCAAAAATGACTATAGGATATTAACCAAAGTGTTACTTACAAAGCTTCAAGAAATCCATCACAATCAAATTTTAAAATATTCTCTGTATTTCCCTTAAGGCAGGAATAGGTTTAGAGAAAAAAAAGACTAAACCAATCTTTAGATTTTCAGCAAATTGCCTACAGTGAACTGTACCAAACCACTGCAGAAAATGAAAGAAAGAAAGAAAGAAAGAAAGAAAGAAAGAAAGAAAGAAAGAAAGAAAGAAAGAAAGAAAGAAAGAAAGCTTTTGTTAAAGATTAAAGAGTTTACCCACTGGACTTAGAACCTACTAGTTTATTGGTTTGCCTTATTGTCAAGGGTAGCCACACTTGTTTATGGAACAATTTAAAAGCATGTGTGAGAAGCAAATGCATTAAGACTTCTTTGTATATAATACAATGCTATATAAAGGAATACTCTATTATACACAATAGACTAAAAACCAAGCATATATCTAAGAGTCATTTATTTGCTGAACATGCAAAAACAAAAACAGACTTTTTGTCCTGTTTAATATTTTGAAGGGATGGTGGGAAGAATGCAAAAGACTATAAGGGAAACTGAAAGAATAGAGATTGCCTTACCATTCAAATAGAGTTATTTGGTAGTTAATGAATGATATGAATTTGAGGAAGAGGTGATAAAACACAGAGAGAGCAAAATAAATTCAAAGATGTCTCTTCTTTTGTCCTTCCAGGCAGACCTATATATTAAAAAAAACCTAACTGAAAAGTAAGAAACAAATAACAAAATAATATTCTCCCAAGTATTCTGATAAGCAGGGTTGATGAAGGAGATCAAACCCAATGGTTGATGCCAGTATTGGATCCCATTACCTTATTCATGAGATCATTCTGCAGCAATGTTTAAGCATTGGTGATTCCCGAATCTTCTTTGAACTCTGAAACAATTTGAATCATCTAATTCAGTTCAATGTCTCAGAGACATTTGATTTGAAGGGATAATTTGATAGAATCTGATGAACTTGAAGACCTTTCAAAGCTTTGCAAAACCTTAATAGTCAACTTGTATTCACAGTTGTTAGTTTTCAAAATTCATTTAGAAATTTATTGATTTCTCACTGGCAGAAATCTGAAAAAGTTAAAATCGAGCAATTTCAAGAATAAATTCATTTTAATTGCACTAAACAGCTTGTGTTACAATATATAAAAACAAAGGCTATTCATATCTACTGTAGCTCTTCCCTTCTTAAAAAATGATTGACTTCCCAGTCAGTTATTTTATTTTTATTATACAATATAAAATTAGCTTCAGCAATCATTTTTATTATCAGAATATTAAACATCTTTTAAAATGCTGACATAAAATTTGATGTATAAAATTAGTTAATATGCTAATACAAGGCATCAATGTTAATCTAGCTCTTTAGGAAACGATCCCATCCATTACATCTCTCCAACATTAAATGTTTCTATTGTATTGTTTGTTTGCACAGTTTCTAGACAGAATAAAATTGGCTTCTTAACTATTATTCTCTGTTATTATATCTATAATTGAGTTTGGGAAATTGAAAAAGTTCCAGTGCATTCAAACAAATCCAGTGAGAAAAACTTGTACATCTTGATTTACCTTGTTTTTGTTAAGTGTTTGTTTCATAGCCACAGCATCATGTAATAAACAGAACAACTCCAAAAACTAAAACTGGCATTCTAATAAGGGAAGTCAACCAACCTTTCCCCCTCTTCCTCCAATGAAAAGGTAAGTGATGCAACAATTGAAAAGCAAATGTGCAACTCTTCTGATTCTGTTGGAAGTGTCAAATGGCTTCAGTCATGGAATTCTTTTGGACTGGCAGGAGAATTGGTTGAGAAGCATGATGTAGCAGCTACATAACATAGCTCTTTCCCAAGTTGTCAGTTCCAGCTGGTGGGGAAGGGCAAGATAATGGGCATTTTGTTTGGGGTATTGCAGGGCTCAGTCCTTTCCAACTTACATAAAGCCACTTAAAAAGGTCACCTATTGTGTAGTGGGTTTCAGTAGGCAAGAACCAGACCAGCATAGCTGCAACAGCATTTATTGACTCAAAACTCGAACTGAGAAACTGCAGGAAAATGCCTGTAATTTATACTCAGGGCCCACAGGGTCTTAACCAATGCTTGAAAAACCCACCCCAGCATAAAGTTCAAAGTTTTCATCCCAAACAGCTGGAGCTAACAGTGAGGGTCATCTAAAGTTACTTTCACTTTAGCAAACCTTACTCAACTACATTCAATACATAACATCACCCATTACCTTGCAATAAGATATTATTAATATTGTACAAATGATGTGGTCCTAGCTCTGCACAAGAGCTGTTAGGGATTGGATGTGGAAAAACAGACTTAGGTTTAATCCCAGAAAGTTGGAGCTGCTGAGAACTTGGAAACCCTCTGATTCCAGAAATCATCTTGCTTTGAATGGATTATTATATTCTACAAATGCAGGTAGCCTGAAAGTTGGGGTTTCTGTAGAGATCATGGTATTGATTTAAAAGCAAGGGGATAATATGGGACAACAAACCATTTTCACAATTACACTTTTTTTTTCTGTTACTTGTGACCAAGATTCTTTATTCATGATCATTCACTCCTTTGTCATTTTATATCTGGATTATTGAATGTTGATCTACATGGGTCTAGGTAATGAGTTATAAATCAGTCATGTAAGTGTAACAGATGGTCTAGAAATTTGATAAATAAATTTGAAGGCTGGTTCAGCAGGCAACAGCTGAAATATAATAGCATCCCTTGGTTCATTTAATGGAAGTTGGATGGTTGTTGTCAGCATCTAGGTGAGATTCAAAATACTGGCCATCAGCTTTAAAAAAAAAAGCAATGGATAACTCTGAATTTGCCTTTTCTGGCAAAAATCTACACATACAGCAAGATCAGGGAGAAAATGTTTGTATAGGGTCTCACCACTATAGGACCATCTGCAGGGTTCCTGAAACTGATGCTTCTCAGGAATGTCTCCCTCATCTGGGAAAACCCTTCTTAAGTTAAAATATGGCTCTTTATGAGGTTATTTAGGGTTGAAATAAATTAAACTACCATGATTGTTATTGTTGATCTGTGATGCTTTAGTTCTCATTCTGTATTTGTTTGTTGTGAGCCACTCAAAGCCTCTGCATTGCAGAGGATAAAATCCAAGGTAAGTAAACAAATATTGTTACACAAAAACAATAAGAGAAATCACAGTTTTATTTAAAACCTCTATATTGTTGCATCCAAAATTTTTCTGATGATTTATTGTTCAGGGTTCATCTGAATATTACACATTTAGAAACCATCAATTACTTTTGTCCAAATCCCTAAAGCATTTAGCCTAGCCTAGCCTAGCCCAGCCCAGCCCAGAATAGAATAGAATAGAATAGAATAGAATAGAATAGAATAGAATAGAATAGAATA